TGGGCTTGGGGGTGTCGGGACCAAGTGGGGAGCGTGGGGGAAGGGGGCGTTGGTCGATGTTGGGCGAGAAATTGTGGGGTCGAGGGTTCCAAGAACAGAGCCCATGGGCTTGGGGGTGCCGGAACCAAGTGGGGAGGGGGGAGGGGAGGGGAACGGCGGGGAAGAGGGCGTTGGTCGATTTGGGGGGAGAAATTATGGGGCCGGGGGTCTCAAGAACAGAGCCCATGGGCCTGGGGGTGTCGGGACCAAGTGGGGGGCGGTGAGGGGGGCGTTGGTGGATTTTGGGCGAGAAATCGTGGGGTCGGGGGTCCCAAGAACAGACCCCATGGGCTTGGGGGTGTCGGGACCAAGTGGGGAGCGTGGGGGAAGGGGGCGTTGGTCGATGTTGGGCGAGAAATTGTGGGGTCGAGGGTTCCAAGAACAGAGCCCATGGGCTTGGGGGTGCCGGGACCAAGTGGGGAGGGGGGGGGGGAGCGGCGAGGAGGGAGGCGTTGGTCGATTTGTGGCGAGAAATTGTGGGGTCGGGGGCTTCAAGAACAGAGCCCATGGGCCTGGGGGTGTCAGGGCCAAGTGGGGGGAGGGGAGGGGGGCGTTGGTCGATTTTGGGCGAGAAATCGTGGGGTCGGGGGTCCCAAGAATAGAGCCCATGAGCAGGGGGGCGTCGGGACCAAGTGGGGGGCGGGGAGGGAAGCGTTGGCCGATTTTGGGCGAGAAATCGCGGGGTCGGGGGCCCCAAGAAGAGAGCGCATGGGCTTGGGGGTGTCGGGACCAAGTGGGGGGGCGGGGAGGAGGGCGTTGGTCGATTTTGGGATAGAAATCGTGGGGTCGGGGGTTCCAAGAAGAGAGCCCATGGGCTTGGGGGTGTCGGGACCAAGTCCCAAAAACAGAGGGTCCAAGGGGTGGGGATGCCGGGGCATGGGAGGGGCATGGGAGGGGCATGGAGGGGGGTGTTGGTCGAGTTTGGGCGAGAAATCGCGGGGTGGGGGGTCCCAAAAACAGCGGGAAAACAGAGGGTCCAAGAGGTGGAGATGCCGGGGCATGGAGGAGGGGCATGGAGGGGGGTGTTGGTCGAGTTCGGGAGGAGGGCATGGAGGGGGGTGTTGGTCGAGTTTGGGCGAGAAATCGCGGGGTGTGGGGTCCCAAAAACAGAGGGTCCAAGGGGTGGGGATGCCGGGGCATGGGAGGGGCATGGGAGGGGCATGGAGGGGGGTGTTTGTGGAGTTTGGGCGAGAAAGCGCGGGGTGGGGGGTTCCAAAAACAGAGGGTCCAAGGGGTGGGGATGCCGGGGCATGGGAGGGGCATGGGAGGGGCATGGAGGGGGGTGTAAGTCGAGCTTGGGCGAGAAATCGCGGGGCGGAGGCTGGCTGTCACAGGGGGGGTCGGGGAGGGCCCCGGCGAGGATGGCTAGGGACTGTGTGATGTGTGGGGACAACCTCGGATACAGCTGAGAAGGATTCCGCAAACGCCTCATGGGGTCGGCGGATTGGGCGTCTTGGAACGATCTTTCGGCGACTTTGGGTTCTCGTGGACCGTCTTGGCGGCTTCTTGGGAGGCGTCAAGTGCTGTCGTGCAGCTCAAGAGCGATCCCAGGAAGCCCAAGCCGCCCCGGGTGAGTTCGGTCCGGGGTCGTCCCGAGCGAGGGGGGGGGGGCGGTCAAATTCCCGGTTTGGGGTCCCTGGGGGGGAATTATGGGGGGGGAACAATCTCACATGCCTGGAGACCCACAAGGGGTCGGCGGACTATCAGGACCCGCCAGTTTGCCTCCTGCTGTTCCTCCTCGAGCCGACTGTCAGGGGAGCGCGTTGGCCGCGCCACCAGGTTGTCCGCTCGTGTGCCGGCCTAGCCTCAGACTCAGCGTGCCAGCCCATCCGCTCTCGCGCCGAGTAGGTGCCGAGAGGCTTCTTACTTCAAGGGGGGATCCACCCCTTTGCGACTCCACTCAGCTTACCGCTTCCTACACCCCCAGACTCCTGCTTGCCCCCAGCATCACCTTCCGCGCCTCGTGGTCCTCAGAGGCCCCGTCTTTGCCTCAGTCTTCTCCTTTACCCTTCCCCTTCTCCTTGCCTCTCTCTTTGCCATTGCCAGCCAGCCCCCTTCGACCGGCATCCCTCTGGTGGTCTTCCGAGCAGGGAACACGGTGTCCTGCCCCTGTGCGGCTGTGGGTGTCGCGACCAGGGGCATCGCGGCGCCCGCTCCCTGCCCGAGCCCCCGTGGCCGGCCCCCCCGCTTGACCTAGAGTGGGGGAAGATGGGAACTGGGGGGGCAAAGAACACCACGGACCAAGATGGAGACAGGAGGACTCCTGGGATTCGTACTTATGTATGCGTGTCCCACACTGGGCCCCTTTGAGAGTAGACCGTGACATCCGACGCCGCGAAACAACCTGAACGCCGCGACAAAAAATCGTGACCAGAGTCCTGGGCCAAAACTTTCTGCGCCATCTTTCGAGCCAGCTCGACCTACGAGGGCCGCGGGGCCCAGAGGAGGAGGAGGAGGAGGAGGAGGAGGAGGAGGAGGAGGAGGAGGACGAGGCGGAGGAGGAGGAGGAGGAAAACGAGGAGGAGGAGGAGGATCAGGAGGAGGACGAGGAGGAAGAGGAGGAGGAAGGCGAGGAGGAGGAGGAGGAGGAGGAGGAGGAGGAGGAAGACGAGGACGAGGAGAAGAAAGATCAGGAGGAGGAGGACGAGGAGGAGGGGGAGGAGGAAGACGAGGAGGAGGAGGAGGACAAGGAGGAGGAGGAGGAGGAGGAGGAGGAGGAGGAGGAGGACAGCAACTGGGCGAAAGCGCCCGGTTCGACGAGGAGGGAGAGCGAGCCCAAACCCCCCGAGGTCGCGACTGCTGTCGCAGCGTCGACCCCCCGCAGGTGTCTGGACCCCTTCCCCAGTCAGGGCGCTAGAGACAGGAGGTACAGCAGACGGGGGCACGGGGAACGCCGATTCCCACGTTTGGCTGTGCCCCCGTTGAGGGGGCCTTGGGCGCCACAAGCGGGGGCATACGCAAAAGCCCGAGCCCCCGTTGAGCTTAACCCCCGTTCAGGAAACCCCTTTCCCGGGACGGGCTCTTCGTCCCGCGAGTCGTTCTCTCTAACGCTCCCGGGGCCCGGCGAGGGCCCCCGGAGGCCCACGACAGCGACAAGTTTCCCGCCGTGTTTTTGTTTCTTGCTTCACAGCGCGAGGAGGAGGACGAGGCGGAGGAGGAGGAGGAGGAGGAGGAGGAGGAGGAGGAGGAGGAAGGCGAGGAGAGGAGAGCGGAGGAGGAGGAGGAAAAAGGAGGGAGGAGGAGGAGGAGGAGGAGGAGGAGGAGGAAGAGGAGGAGGAGGAGAAGAAAGATCAAGAGGAGGAGGCCTGGGAGGGGGGGCCCCCGCCGAGGCCCCGCCGGCCTCGGCGCTCAAGAGCCGGCGGGCGGCGTCCATGGAGCCCCTGCAGACGCCGTGCGCCCACGGCCGGCTGGGCTGGGACGTGGGCCCCACGCCCCCCGCCGAAGTCCGAGGCCTCCCAGTCTTAGGCCTCCCCCTCCTCCCCCTCCTCCTCCTCCTCCTCTTCCTCCTCCTCCTCGGCCTCCTCGTCCTCCTCCTCCTCCTCCTCCTCCTCCTCCTCCTCCTCCTCCTCCTCCTCCTCCCCACGGAGCTTCTGCTGCGAAGGCCTTCGTGGATGCGTCCTAGATTCACCACCCACTAACCCACCCCAACCCAAGCCGAAGGATCCGATTTGCCCTCCATTTCCAGTGGGGGGGGTCGGGGAACATTTACAAAAACACACACATGAAGTCCGTACCCCCCCAACGCGCAATTCGGATCTTCGGGTTGGGTTAGGGTGTTTTGGTAGGTAGTCGTCGATGGGGTCCGAGAGGATGGGGTCGGCGGCTCGGGCCGCGTCGCCGACGCATCGACGATGCGGCTCGATGTGGAGGCCGCGCCGACGTTGCCGATGCATCGCCGACGTCGCCGACGCATCGCCGATGCGTCGCCCATGCGGCGCGATCCTCCGACCCCATCTGCTCTTGAGTCGGGCATGTCCGTCTACAGGAGGACTACTCAATCCTAGTCGAAACATAGCCTGGGAACGATTTGGCTTTCGTATGTTGTTACCATTGCGTGTTTTATTAATTGCTTCGCTCATTCCGCCGGCCTTGGAGCGTTCTTTTTGGCCTCTTGGGGGATTCTTGGGAGCTTCTTGGGGCTCCTTGGCGGCGTCTTGGGCTCACCTGGGGCCTCTTGGGAGGCTCTTGGGGTCTTTTGGGGCGGAAGAGGGAGTAGTCGAGTTCTGTCTGCGTTTTTTTAGTACTCCCCCCGGCTCCGCCTGCAGGGGGACCCGCCCGACCCAACTCTGCTCGGACCCCATTTCAGGAGGCCTCCACGGAGGGGCCCGGACGCCCGCGGAGGTTTTAGTCGTCGATGCCCATGCAGCGTCGAAACATAGCCTGGGAACGATTTGGTTCTGATATTGTGTCTCCATGTTTGAGGATTTCTTGTTGCGTTTGTTTCTTGAATGTTCCCCCCCGCTCCGCCTCTCTAGGGCGGACCCGCCCGACCCAGATCTGCCCGGGCCCCACTTCCAGGAGGCCTCCACGGAAGGGCCCGGACGCCCGCGCGGCCCGGACGCCCGCGCGGCCCGGGGGGGGGCAGGGAGGGCGGCCGCCCCGGGGGGGGGGCGGGCCCGAAGAGGAGGCGGCGGCCTCCGACGATGTGTTTTTGTTGGCAGACCTCCTCGCGCCGAGAATCGGGCCGGGCGAAAGGGGGGGATTGGGAAAGGGGGGGGTTGCGAAATTTGCTGCATGCAGCTGGTTTCGGCTTCTCCGAGGGGCCCATTCCTCGATACATAGCCGCTTCTGGCGCCGGGAGGCGCCGGGAAAATCAGCTACGTGAGCTGATTCTCAAACCCCCCTTTTGCTATCCCCCCCTTTCGCCCGACCCGAGAGAAGAGCTCGCGACGGGTTTTTGTGAATAGTTTCGGCCTCCAGGGGCCCTTCCGGGGCCTCGGAAGCGTCAAGAAAAACGGCGCGGGAGGAAGAGCTCCTGTCCCGGGGGAGGGGTGCAGACTTCTGGGGGTCGACGCTGTGAAAGATTCACGGCGTCGGGGGTCAGGGTCTCTGGTGCTGAGGTCCGCGTTGTGTGTGTGTGTGTGTGCGTTTGTGGTTTTACTGTCCTGGCTTTTTGGCAAGACCTGTGTCTAGGTAGTGTAGACATGTGTGTAAACATATAGATAACAGATATACACAATTATACATATATATATATATATCTATATATATGTATATATATATATATAAACGACCACGACGAAGTCGACCACGACTGACGACGGCACCGACGATGACGATGACGACTACGACGCCCACGATGATGATGCCGACGACGACGACGATGCCGACGATCTCGACGATGCCGCCGACCTCGACCACGACAGACAGCGACGACGATTCGGACCACTTCGATGCCGACGACGACGCCGCCGACGACGACGACGATGCCAGCGACGACGCGGACGAACTCGGAGATACCGCCGACCTCGACCACGACCAACGACGACACCGGCGATGCCGACCACGACGTCGACGCCTCCGACGACCATGACGACGCCGATGCCGGCGACCTCGACGATGCCGCCGACTTCGACCACGACCGACGACGAAGACGACGATGCTGGCGACGAGGATGCTGACGACGACGACGCCGACGCCGCGCTCGTCGACGAACACGACGACGCCGACGCCGACGACGCCGACGACGCCGACGACACCGCCGACCTCGTCCACGACCGACGGCGACACCGACGACGACGGCCACGGTCCTGACGGACGACCGTAGCCATCCCTGCGTCGCCAGGTGGGCCCCATCGCCGAAGAGCCCCGGTCTACCGGGAGCGGGCCGGGCGGCAGGGCTCCGCGCCTCCCCTCCCCTCGCCTCCCCTTAGCTCCCCTTCCCCCTTCCCTCGCCTCCCCTCGCCTCGCCTCGCCTCGGGGAGACGGGCATTCTCACCAGGTTTGGGGCTCAGTGCTCAGGGGCGCTCGCAGATCAGTCCAGCTCGAAAAGTGCCGCAGCAGCATTGGGTCTGGGGCTCTGGTGGTGAATCTTCGATGCCCTAATGTTTCCCGCAGTCGGATCTCAGGGTGATGATGGTGCACAGGCCTGTTGTAGGTTCACTTGCGCGAGTGATGCGGCGCACCCCAGAGTTGCGGACAAGAGTGAGGAGACAGGCGCGTGGTGGGTCGCGGGTGGGGGCGGTCGCGGGTGGGGGTCGCGGGATGGGCCGCGGGGTAGGTCGCGGGTTGGGTCGCGGGTTGGGTCGCGGGTTGGGTCGCGGGGTGGGGTGGGGAGGGGGGGGGCGGCGGCAGCAGCAACATTAAGCAGCAACCGAGCATCATACGGGCCACGGCATCCCACAGGGCTTGGTACAAAGTTGGCTCTCGGTAGTGGGAAGCACAGCGCCCAGTTCGGGAACCTTGGCTACCGACGTGCCAAGGATTGATGGCCGCCAGCCGAGGTCGCCGTGGTCGTCGTGGTCCTCGTCGCCGTCCTCGGCTCCGCGCCTCGGCGGCGCCCGGTTGGCGCGAGGGTGGGGTGGGCCACGGGGGCTTCCTAGAGGCCCTTTCTGTTGCTGAGGAGCCTTCAAGAGGCCTTCTACCAGCCACGCGCAGAGGGGGGCAGGGGGGAGAGGGGGAGAGCCTCTCAGAAGCACCCCTGCTTCTCAGAAGGCGGGCCTCGTCTGCAGATGGAAGTTGGGCGCCTTCGAAGAAGCAGCCACCGTCTGAGAAGCCTCCCCCCCCCATCCATACAGCCAGGACGCTGAAGGAAATACCACGTTGGGCTCAGAAGGGGCCTGAGTTTTCGGGCTGCTCTTTAGATTTGTGCCTTGGGACTCGGTTTTGGCCTAGGCCCGCCGTGGCCAGCAGAAGCCCCTCCGTTCCCCCTTTTCTGCGCTCCCTATGGCAGCACGATGACTACACCCCTCTTGTGCGCGCCTTAAAGAAGCAAACCCAGGCAAGAAGGCCGCTCCTGCCGCATGACGTCGCCGCGGGCCGGCGAGGCGCACACCCCCCTTTGCCCAGGGTCGCTCATGCGTCTAAGAGGATCTCCCCGAAGGGCATAGGCGACCCGTCCTCCTCCTCCTCCTCCTCCTCCTCCTCTTCCTCCTCCTCCTCCTGCCCGCATGAGATTCATTGGCGGCGCCTGCAGTTCATTTCTAGGCATCGACTTCCGAGGAGGAGCTCGGAGCAGGCGGCTTGGAGCACGGCGGCCAGGTGGGCACGTCACCTGCGAAGTGTTGATGCCGTGCTGCAAAGTTATCTCCTTGGGTTGTCGGTCGATGACGGAGATCAAAGGCGACGTCTTCAGCGAACTGCTCGTGTTCTCTACGAGGTGGAGAGGTTCTGCCAGAGGATCTGCTCCCACGGCTGGGTCTTCGCGCGCCTGGACGACCTCACGGCAGGGTTCTCCAAGGCGGGCACAGACGTGCTGGGCGGCCCGTCCTTCGTTGACCTCGTGCAGAGAATCCTGGGCAGGGCCGCGCTCCACGATGCAGCATTCCTGGCGCTGAAAAATGAGGAATGGCAGGCTTGGGTTAGGTCTTCCTTTTTGAGTGGGGTTCGAGCAGCCCACCGCTTCTCAAAAACCAAGGTGGTCCGGGAAGTCATAGGAGCCACGGGGCGGGCCCAACCCTTTGAGCTGGCGGATGAGTGTTTGTCGGAGTGGGGTTCGACTTGGGCCACCCACGATTGCAGATCTCCTGAGCTTCCTGGATATTTGTTGTCTTGGGAGCCCCTGCCAGACATCACAGTGCCCGCGCTGCGTGCTGCGATAGGTCAGTTTCCTGAGCGGACGGCGGTAGGCTTTATGTCAATACATCCTCGATCGCTGCTGTACCTGTCGGACGAGGCCCTTGAGGCTGTTGTGTCCTTGCTGCATCGGTGCGAGCAGGTAGGAGCGTGGCCCTCGCACAGGCTAGTCTTCGAGGCTGGTCAGACTGCCAAAGCCAGGCGGGGGTCACCGCCTGATTGCCCTTTGTGGATTCGTTGGTTAGGATCTGGTCCAAGGTCCGCAGGCCTGTTTCAGAGCGCTGGGAGCCCGACAATAGGACGGAGGAGTTATGGGGTAGCGGGCCGGGGAGGAGTGAGAGCGATTTTGCGTTTGATTAAACTTTGTCCGCTGAGATTGCCAGGCCCAAAGGTTTGCACTGGGTAAGCGTGCTTCTCGGCATGGCCAAGTGCTACGAAATGGTTAGGCTGCCTGTTCTCTTCGACATATACAGGGCTGTAGGTGTTCCCCTGGGATTAGGCCCGATGTTGATCCAATCGTACATTGCGCCCAAGTGTATTGAAGCTCATGGATCGTTGTCGGAGCCCTATATATCGTACCAGGGGATCCTGACGGGTTGTAGTCATGCGCGTGCCAAAATGCAAGCTGTCATGCTAAGCCCTGTCAGGCAGACCATTGCTAGGTTTCCGTCCACCACCGCAAGGGTTTTGATGGATGACGCTTCTCTCCAGTGGCATGGCCCTGACGTTCAAAAGTCGGAGATAACGTTTGCGGCTGTGAGAGATCTGCGCCGCCGCCTTACCCCCATTGGTCTCCTGTTGCAGCCGAGTAAGTCTGGATTCCTGGCTCGCTCGGTCGCGGCCGAAAAGAAAGGTAGCTTTTCGGCACGACGGCTTGGGTTTACAAGCAGGGCGCATTTTAGGAATCTGGGACACGATTTATATGGTAGAACGGCAATCCGCAGTGTGGAGGCCGGTCGCCGCCGTAAGCTTTTGGAGCGCAGGGTAAAGCTCAAGGTTCTGGAGAAAAAGGCTGGGCCCATAGAGGCCGCGCTCTGGCGCACTGGGCTGATGCCCAGCGGGGGCCACGGGGCCTCGGTCGCGGGGGTCGGTAACACCACTCTTCGGAGCTTGAGAGGGCTAGCGGCGGAGCTGATGGGCGCTAAAGGTCGTGTCCATGTCGCTGCTTACCTAAGCGCCCGCAGCGATGTCAGCTATGACCCCATAGTAGACGCTACAGTGCCGTTGGTTTTCAGATACTGCTGCCGGGTCTGGGATCGCGGAGCGAACGACTCAGATTTGCGCAAGGCTTGGCAGCTAGCTTTCGACACGTTTTCCGGTAAATCGTCTTGGGCCCAGGTCCGTGGCCCTATCGGGGCCGTCATGTTGAGCCTCCGTCGCATCCGCTGGGACCTGGTGGGTCCGCTTTTCATTCGCTCCGGCCTCGGCGAAACTTGCTCCCTGCTGTCGGTCTCGCCCCATGACATTCGCAGACTGCTGCTAGACGGTTTTAACCGAGCGCAGATGATGCAGCTGTTGTCGGCCATCCCCGAAGCTACGGGCTCCGAGAAAGTTTGGGCGCTTCGGCTCGGCGTGCTCTCGGTCCGAAATCACGTGCGCAGGGGCGCCCTGAGGGCCCCGTTGGGAGGAGGGCTCTGGCCGCCAGCTCGCAAGTTCTTGCATGGCTACGCCGAGTCGGACAGATGCAAGTTGCTTCAGCCAGAAGCCTGGCACGTTTGGCCGCCAATGGTTTGATTGTGATAGCGTCTGGTCTCAAGGCGAGCAGAACCCAGAGGTCGCGCCGCCGTTGCCGGATGATTTGTTAGAGCATCGTCAGTGGTCGAAGGACCCAGCGAAGGGTATCCCGCCCGATTTCGATTCACTTGAGCTCGCGCACGGCCTTCCGTCGATTCCGATTGAGCTGAGTTCGGCCCCCGCTGCGCTGCCGGCGTTATGCTGCGGAGCCACTCATTTAAGTTGGGGGCGGCAGATTTACACCGACGGGTCTGGCCGAGCCAACGGGGTCCCAGAAGCCACCCGCTGCGGGTGGGCGGCCGTGGAGCTCTCGGCCCAAGGCTGGCCGGTTCGGGCCCGCCACGGGGGCCTGTCGGGGAGGTGCCAGACGGTCCCGAGGTCCGATCCGCAGGCCATTCTCGAGGCGCTCCGAGTGGCCCCGTGGGGAGCAGAGATTGTCTCGGACCACCTGTCCGTAGTCCGTGAAGGCACCGAGCAGCGATGCGCGAGCCATCACGCCAGCGTCAGGCGCGATATTTTTAAGGTTTACCAGGGTCGGTCTGAGAGACCGACTTTCCGTTGGACCCCGGCCCGCGGAGATCTCGATGAGGTGTTGGCCGCTGAGCTTGGAGGTGTGTTTGGCGGTGCGTCTCGTGCGTGCGATCTCCATGGGAATGTCTGGGCAGATTTCTTTGCGAATTTAGGCTCGGCGCAGATTTGCGTCGCAGATGTAGCTGTGGAGGCGCTCAAGGAGCGCCTGAAGCATGCAAAGTGGGCGTTTGAGGTCATGTCCCGGGCGGCCCAGTTGGTGGCCAGTTGCAATGTGGTCGAACCGAGGGTCGCCCCGAGGCCGAGCAATCCCACGCCCCCTTTTGTTTTGTTGGCTCATGACCTCGAGCAGGTCCCCGACAGGTCTGTCCGCTGCACATGGTGCCACTGCTCAGCGAGGGCGGCCAAGGCTCGAGCTCGTTTGGGGCGGCCTGGCGCGCGTTGCGAGCCGACGGCCTTGCATCTTTTTCTCACGGCAGTCAGGGCGGAGAGGCTCGGTGGCGCCCTGCCTAGGGCGCGTTCGAGCGCCGTCCGACTGGCCCTGACGGCGCCAGGGCTGCAGGAGGAGTCGTCGACGTCGTCGTCGCCGCCCCCGGCCCGAGCGCCCGAGGTCTTCGAGCTTCAGGGGCACATGGTGCAGCCTGCTGGGCGCCACCCTGTGTGCAGGCGTTGCGGCGCCCACGCTCTCATTGAGCAGCCAGCGTAGGTCGCTGCTGCAGCCCTGTCAGGGCACCGCGACCGCGGACCAGCACTGGTTCCGCGACGAGGTCCTGGCTGGGCGCGAGCCCCGCTAGCTGTAGGGCTGGCGGTGCGGCCCTGCCGAG